GAAAAATGACTTAATTTAGTTAATGAATTCGGAGCAGTGCTGTCAAGTATATATTGTTTGGAAGTGTTTTATTAATTACTTATTTGGTTACGCGTACGTATAAATCAGCGCCAGTTGCATTTATCTAAATTTCGGATAAATTTTAAGTAAAATATCTGCAAAGGCATTTTGATATTTTTAACTGAATTTTGAACGTGTTTTTCTTTGTTAAGCGTATATTTTTGCTGATAGTATTGAAAATGAGTATTCTTTTCATATTTATATAAAATGAAAAATGTATAAGAGTTTTATAACTAGTGTTTTTATATGAGGATTTCAAAATACTGCTCAAGACTAAATCGAAGATCAAAATAAGCTGGGACTAAAAGGTGAGAACAAAACAAAACTGAGTTATGAAAACATCTTATTTTAGATCTGTTGAGCAGACAGAAATGATTCGATACTGAAGTTTGGTGAAACAATGTTATTTTTGTTGGATGTAGGAGACAAATGAATCAGAAGCTTACATCACGAGGTGTAGACCAATCATTTATCTGCCTAAACCCAAGGTTTCGGATAAGTAAATGGATTGGTAAACGGTTTTGGACGAGTAAAAAATGGATTACTAAACTATTGTGACCTTACCAATCATAATCAGAATATTTATGTTTATGGGGTTCTGGTGTTAGTACGCTGAATGTATGTTTGTTGCAATATGCTAAGAACAATACATTTCGTTAAAGTTTCATATTTTCAGCATTTACTGCAAACGATAGATTCCGCTTGTGAAAGTAATTTTAGAGCTCAGCGGACGGGGCAAATGATCAAACACATTTTCAAGGTCTGCCATGTGAGGACATACTGAGTCATACTAAAATCTATGTTAAAAATGTGAAATCATTTCCTGGAGCTCTAACACTTGTCATAAGTCTAGCACTTTTTAAGTACAATTGGTCCTTAAAAGGTACATGAGCCTGAAATTTGAAATAAAACTTACAAATGTCTTTTTTGATACAAAAGAAAGATTTTAGAGTCTTATATTCGACTTTTCAGTAACGCAGTTAGTATTGGGTTTCTGTTAATGGACGACAGCGCTCGTCCACATAGGGCTCAGCTGTTCGACGATTGCTTAGAAAGTGAAGATATTCAACGCATAAGATTGGCCAGGCAGATCGCTTGAACTTATTCCTATTTACCATGTCAGAGAAGCTCTTGAGATGGCAACTTCATCTTGCCATCCCCCTCCGAAAACCATCCCGGGGTTGAAAACGGCTTCTCTTTAGGAGTGCAGTTTTCAACCTCGGGATCGACTGCCACAGGGACCCCTCAACTGCCTCCTGTCCAGTATAGCGTCTCGCTGTGCGACCTGTCTGGCTGTGAAGAAGCCAGACTCTACCCTATATTAGACTCATTTTCAGCTCCTAATCACAATGTGGACTATGGGCATCTTTGCGCTATGAACTTTACTGATAATAATGAATGCATAAATGACTTGAATAGTGCATCGCTTTCTCATTTATAAATATATATACATAACAGTTCGAAATAATGTGAAAATTCTCTTAATAGCGCACAGGGATGTATATTACAGAGTGTTGCCAGAGTGTAATTTGGACGCAAGTATTCTGTAATATTGATATCCGGTCAGAAAGAATGATTTTTGAAAGCTGTCTGATATTATGCGGAAGCAGGTGTTTACTATTTAGGATAATATGGAATTAGAAAAGCAAAGTAGCTGCTTTCTAATTTCCAGCTTTTCAGCTACCTTTAGACACTAGCTTTCTCTTTTTAGCTCTAGATCTATCCGTCTTAAAATGCCTATACATCAACCCTTGCCCATTTTGCTTTGAGAAACAATTAGGTTCCTGGTAATTGATGACGTATTGTAGTCCTTACGCTACAATAAAACTTCTCCCATAATTTGTATTTAGCTGCAAATGCTACTTCTGAACTTTCTTTCATGAGTGCGTACGGACATTTCACCTCTTTAATGGGTCGCAAATATCGCTCACTTTTGTCGCTGAAAATTGCAGCATTCTAAAACATCCGTCTCTTTCACGTATTGTTTAATTATCTCATATATTTTGTTCAAATATTTGTTAGATTTGCCCATGATGTTTTACTAATTATTCTATTAAAATATACATAATAATTCAAAATACGTGAAATATATTGAAACTTTATTAGCAGAAAGATCATTAAAAACAATTCGACCTTTCATCAAAAGGAAAGATTCACATAAGCTCTGTGAAGCTTCACGATCACCGAAATTTAAATCGAGAACATAAAACGAATTCGCAACAAAATTTAATACGCCCCTGTTTCACGGAAAATATATCTGTAGGGAATAATAATTTTGTCTTGACCGGAAAACGCTGACGTATTTAATTCCAGAGGGAAGCTATAAACAGTGTATAGTTGATATAAACGCTGCGTATTCACAACGCATCTTTGGGAAAACAATACAACTATTAACAAAATAATAATAACAGTGAGAAGCTTTATGAGAAAATAAAATACATTTCTTCCTTAACTAGATGCAAAATGGAATAAAAGCAGGAAACACATCATCTTACCATGGCGTTCAGTTATATCTCTCTTATGAACGCAATCATGACAAAAATTAATAAAAAAAGAGTTGAGTACAGGTAATACTTTAAAATTAGGGACGGATTGAAATACCCGATTTACAGAGTTTTGAATAAGATTTAAGCTCGAAATTTCGAATTTTTTAGCAATTTTTATTATTCGAATAATTTATTTTTTAATAGAATTCGAATTATTCTCATATTAAAAATTTGATACACGCTTTAAATAGTTTAGACTAGTTTTATTATTAAATAGAAGCTTTTATTAATAAAAGAACGCTAATCCGACAGTTTACGTGAAACTGAATCACAACGTCACTTCCTGGCTGTCGTAAATTCCTAATTACTAGACACATTGATAGTTTAGCGTTCTATCATTGATATTTGTTTGAGTTAACTTTTTTAGTAATCTTCCTCTTCTGTATTTATCTAGATTTGAAAGGTTTTTAAGAATTTAAAATAAACTCAACTGTGACTCATATACATTTGTAAAATTTTATCGCTAAAACAAACCTTAAGATGCAAGAGTTTTAAATACGTACCACGTATACTAAATTTACTTTTTTTTATACGTATAGGTCTAATTCAAAAGTCAAACAACAAAAATTAGCTTTATAGTTTCAAATTTTCAATGCCTCATTACCTTCTGCTGCCTCCTTTGTTAATCTATCCGCTATCTCATTCCCATTCGAGTTGTGTGTTTGAGGATCTTAGGTTTCGTAATTCCTTTTGGATATCCATTATGATGGGAGATGGGTTTTTGGGATTCTTCAAAGCATAAAAGACTGACAGACTGTCGGTCTTGATGGTAGTAGTGACTCTACTGCTGATCTTGTAGTATTTGATGGCTTGGGCTATTGCAACAGCTTTCGCCTGGAAGACACTGTTGTTTTTATGGAGGTGTTCTTTCCAAGCGTGGACTACGTTGTTGATAATTATGGAAAGAAATGCGCTACCTACATTATTGCCGATCTTCGAGCCATCCGTATAGATGTCTTGAACGGACTCTGGGAGCGGATGGCCATATCTAAGCTTGATCCAAGTAGTTGTGCCTTGCTGTGATGGATGAAAGTCCAGATGGAAGGGAGGTAATTCATACTTATCTGGTGAGAAGATTTTGTTTCGTAAGATGCTGTTTTGTGCAGTAACTTGACACCCTGCCTAGCAGCTTCCATTTCGACGCAGATGTGTAGAGGCAATAAGCCTGTCATTACGCAGATCGCATTGGTAGAAGTTGTGCATTACGCTTTTGTTATGCTAAGTGCGTACGGTCTTTGAATACTGAGTAGGTGTTTAACTTTGCGGCCTAGCATCTGAGATGCCCAGACCGCTGCACAGTATGTAACTATTTTTCAAAAACCGTCAAATATAAAATCTTTCGGATATGTGGGTTTAAACCCCATTTGTCCTTGCATTTTGTCCCCATCCTTCCATTTGTCTAATAGCTCTGGCGATGGCTGCCGTGCGTTGTTTGATTTCCAGGATGTGTGCAATCCAGTTCATTTTTGCATCAAAAGTTAGGCCTAGATATTTAAGTTCACTGGTGATCTTAATGCGTGTGCCATTGATGGAGATAGTGAGTCTTCGTGATAATGACCCTCCTTTTTTCGGGCTCACGGGGATTTTGGATTTTGACTCAGAGATCCTCAGGCTTAGAGAGTGGCATAGTGTATGCAGAAGGTGGCATATCACGTTTGAGTGTCTCTGTAGTTCTTTTCTTGTATCACCTTTCACGATGAAGGCCGCGTCATCTGCGTATGCATACACATTTGTATGCTGTGACCACGGAGCACTGAGCATTTTATTAAGTGTTAAATTCCACAGATCAGGGCCGGCGCATGACCCTTGCGAGCAGCTACTGGTTTATTTCTTATGGATTGTGGCATGGTTATGCAGGACTATTATATGGCGGTTGTTTAGGTATCTGTTGATAATATTGAATATGTTAGACGGACAGTTGGCCTCTTTTAAAGCTTCTAGGATGGCTGGCCACCATAACGTAGCAAATTCGTTCTGCAGGTCGATACTTATGAAGTCCGTGTGAAATCCGTTATTACGATTGCTTAAGATAATATCATGGATGTCAGAGAGAATATGGAAGGTCGAGCGGCCTGGCCTAAATCCATACAGACGATTGCTTAGGTGGTTAGTCTTATGCAGATGGTGCTTTAGCCTGTTGACAATAAGGCGTTCAAAGACTTTCCCTAGAGTTTAGAGCAAGCATATAGGCCGGTATGAGTTGGCTTGCGTTGGCTGCCTATTCTTTTTGAGAAACAGAACAACTTGTCCGATCTTGAATGCACGTGGCTTTAGCAGCTTGTTAAAGTAGCTTAGGATGATGTGTGGATTTGAATGGATGCCCACCCTGATTGATATTGTAATCCACACACACCATCAGGGCTCGGTGCTCTCTTCTTTGGCAAGTAGCGCACGATGTGCTGGAGTTCTCCTAATGTGAAATCCGAATCGTCTGGAGTTAAGGAGGTTGTAGGCATGCTTCTTCTGATGGCGTGTGCAGGTGAGTCCGTACTTGAGTCGTCCTTGGGAAAGACTGCATCCAAAAGGCTATTTATGGTAGTTGCTGGTTACGTTGGTGTTTTGTGCCGCTATTGCTTGAAAAAATCAACTAGATTAAGTTTTTCAAGCAGAAATTAAATAAGTAAATTCAATTTCACCTTTGAAGTTAAAAAAAGATTAACATGGCGAAATTTAAGTGAAAAAAATCAAAACTTCTAAGTAAGCACTTTAAACAAACTAATCAGTTACTAAAATTAATATTAATTAAATTTGGTAACGAGCTGCACAGCAAAATCAGTGGTTTAAAACTAATAGTTGCATGCAGGTAAGAAAGCAGCTGACGAGTATAAATATCGCATGACAAAATGGAAAGTTGTTTTTAATAAACTAAATTTTAAATTTAATTCACTAAATATTTATCAAAATATACATAAACAATAATAATAATAACACAGAAGAAAAAATTCAATTTTTTCCCCTGACTGAATTTTAAAGGTTGATAACAACGAGTAATTTCTATTGGTTTCATATGTATTGATAACTAAATATTAAACTTTCAGAATGACATTTATTTCAAATAATTCTAATTTGTCTAATTAGAAACTAAATAATTTACATAAAGTAAACAAATTATTAAGTACTTCCAAATAACACAGAACCTGAGAATAAATATTGATAATCCATTTTTGTTTAATTTATTAAATATTTCTTAAACTATTTCGTTTGTAAGTACATTTCATATGATCATCTTTTTCTGAAACTGAAATTAATAAGTCTATAAGGAGATAGATTGACTGATGAGCATTCAGAAATCTTGATGAAGTGAGATTCCAGTAATTTCTTTCCACGCATACAGACTTTACCAAAATCGAAACGTAATATAGCGTTGTAGCTAAAAGTTGTAAAATAAAATAAAGAAATTTATCATAGACACATTTTTGTATTGTTTCTGCATGCGTTGAAGAAAAATTTAATAAATAAAATTAAGGGAACAAATTGAGTTATATATTCTCAATTTTTGTTCCACTCAACATACTTTGTAATTTCTTTATTTTCAGTTTGATGTAAAAGTACTTTATTGATTAGTTAATATATAACATGTTAGAATTATTTTAAATAAATATATCAGTCTGAAAATTTTACATTTTGCTGCAAATGTGTTTCTGTTACACAACGCATGTTCAATGCAGCGTGTTAAGTATGTTCGTCACACAATGTAACGAACATAAGTGTTTTACAGATACTAAACATTATATTTCAGAAACAAAATAACTAAAAATTTCAATATTTTTCTTTGTGTTATTATTATTAGTCCAAAAGAGCTGTATGTCTCGAAACACGTCGAACCACCATAAATGCATCTTTTCATTTTTCGTTTGAGACTGTTGCCATTCAGCAATATTCAAAATATTTATCTTGAATCTGTCTGTTGTACATTAACAAGCTAAGATATTTGATAGCAGTTGTTACAGGACTTACGAATATTCGTTTCTAACTTTTGAATCGTATTGCTTTAATAAAGAATTACAAATTCATTTACTTCATGATCTATCTAATTAAAAAATTCAATATTTTCATAGAATGACGTTATATTTTTGATTATTTATTTTATATTTGCAAATCTTTAACAAACTCAACGATTTGAAAGCGAGCCCTGGCAACACTGTACGAAATAGAACATATTTATCTCCATCGCGCAAAATTATTTATCAGAAATTCTAAATATATGCTGTTTTTAAATATTTTGCGATTTTCTGTTGATCTGAATTTTATGTGGCGTATGTGCGAAGAACGTGATATTTAACAAATAAAGTATTGTTATTGTTACTTATGCTCACTTGTCTAACAATAACATCAGCCCAAGCACATGAAATTCCTCGTGGCAAGGAGCAGAAGATACGCCTGTTGTTGGCAACAGCCTCGAGCACCTTACAGGTGATAGTGCGCTTTAGCTCAGTTCCACCCCCAATTGTAACGGACAGCACCCCGGGGAAACAGGTACGAGCGTCTCCTAAAACTTGCACCAAACCTCACGAGAGGACTTTCGGCTCGCCGCGTATGCAGAGTGCCGCCATGCCACCTATACATTTACAAACATCCATGCCTTCTCCGGGATTCGAAACCCGGCCATTCGGCACTGCAGTCAGCGTCGCTAACCACTATAGCGGTTGGGGGGCACAAATAAAATTAAAATATTAAAACTTTAAACAAAAAAGACAAAAAAAATTGAAAGCCATCGTACTAATAAAACTGAACTTTGATATTGTAGCGTGCGTACGGGCTCGTTACGAAGTGAATGCACAAGTCCGATGAAAAATGAAAAAAATTTATTATTATCGCAACAAAAATGCTTAAATCTCCTCAGATATTCGTGCAGTATTACAATATCTCACAGTAGTTATCTTCTCAAACGTTCAAGAGAAATTAATTCAAAACAGCTAAAGAAAGCTAATCCGCGAATTCGCTACAGTCAACAAGAGCAGTTTTCTAAACAAACTCTTAAAACAACAAACTAACTAAAATCACTAATTCCAAGTTCCACTTATGCCGAGATTATCAATCATTCTGCTTGATGAGTTCCGTCTGTCATCAGACGTTTGCTCTTTGGGCGCTGAAAAGAGAATAAGTTCGAAGTGTGAATCCAGAAGGGCAGGAGCTAATGGCGAAGGGGCGTGACCAGTTGTCACGTGGGCTGCAAGCTGACTTTTCATTGGTTGCGAGTCTTCTGAGGAATACCTCGCTAAAATTGCAATTAAATACAGTACAAAACATATATGAAAGTAGAAATAGTAAAATTAATTATATAAATCAGTCTTCTAAATTATTTACATATGCATATTAGTCCAAGTACGTCTGGAGATAAACACAAGGCACGGGAAGAAGAGCTCGTAAACTAAGATGAGGCTCAGACGCTTGCTGCTTGAGTTTGGTGTCACTGAAAGTAGATACTATCGTGATCACACCAATTAAGTCACTAATTACACTGATTACGGTCACATTTGTATGAAACATAGTTCGGAACTTTGAGACGATGGCATGGTTTCGCATGAGTCTCAGTTATCATGCCAATGTCAATATCGTGATCAATACAAAACTGTTGGAATTCACCAATTCGATTATGGAGGCCATTGGCGTTCCAGAAAACGAAACGGATAGTTGTCAGCCGTCTGGTGTAATTATCCATGAATTTGGGAGTCCGGATTTCGTTCCTGATGTGTAGTAGTAGTTTTCATCAATTAATTTCTTGCACAGAAAAGGAATTCCAGATTCCTTAGTGAAGGTGACCAACATACTTAGTTGTTGGAACATTTGTTTGGCCTCTGTCATCATTTTCATAGATTCCGGAGCGAGTCCCGTAGTTAATGCCTGAGCATAATGATTTATTCGTCACTATACGTTCATTGAACGTTTTATCACAACTAATTGAGAGGTTTTCCTCCTTTTATAAGATTTTAAATCGCGCGCGAGAAATTTCTGGAATTTTCTCGAAAGCAAAAAGAGATATTTATTTATTAAATGTTAAATGAACGTGCTCTTGTATTTTTAACTTTTCGGCTTAGCTTTCCTTTAATATTCGTCACGCGCTCCGCTGCACGGCGAATAAAACAATTTAATTTATAATTTAACTAACATTAGCTATTTTAATATGAAATCCGTAACAATATGATGAACTGAGAACAGGCAGGGAAAAAAATAAAATACGCACAAACGGGTCTTTTTTTTTTTTTTTTTTTTCCATTTACAGACACATACACCCTTCAAGAGCATTTGGGCTAAAAATATTTAAAAACAGCATATCTTTAGAATTTCCGTTAAGCAGTCTCGTGGGCTGGAGATAAAAATTTTGTATTCCCTAAAGTGTTGCCGCTGCTTTCTTTGAAATTCTTGAGTTTTTTAATGAAAAGTTCGTTAACGTTTTATAAAATATGAAATAGGCAATAAAAAATTCCAAATTCTGTCTTCCAGGTGCCCATATTCAAGTTGAGGTCTATGTTATTCAAAATTTGATAACTTTAGGCACCGTTGTTTTTCAACATGCAAGAAACATACATGTATTTATGCAGATTCTTCATTATTTAGTCTGTTTTTAATATAATACAAGGCTATAGTATTTGGTCGCAATAATTGCATTTAAGTGATTCAACGCAAAATGATGTTCCGAGACTTAAGCCCATTTGGGCTAACTACCCTTTTCGGCTAAAAAAATAGAAACATATACGCCAACACTCAAAATCGGGAATACATCGGGAAATTTAAACGTATGCTGCTATGTTACTTTTAAAATTTTTATGCTTTAAATGATGACATGTATTTGATGCAAGTGCGAAGAAAAACGATGCTTAATAATAAGCCTAAAAGGACAAAAAGAAAGGGGGTGACAGGAGTGAGTGTAACAGCAGAATGGTAGATTGCGACCTCAGCGACAGATTAAAAATCTTTTAACAAACCCTTCTCGGAGCGGGCTAAAATCAGAAATGTTTTTATGTTTGTTTTGATAAGTAATGTTCAGTTAACAAAATTTAAAATTTAGCTTATCTAATTTTTAGTAAAAAATTGTGATTTGTTTGGAAAAAAACCTTTTTATTTAATAAAACTTTCGGCTTGTCAGCTGATTTCAGATCACGCATTCAGTCCTCATGCAATTTGAGTTTGAGACCACATCAATGAAGTCGGATAGAACACATACACAGTAGATTAAAGCTTAAAGCAAAAGAAATATATGCTATAAAATAGGGCATTCACAGGAATGCAGAAAAAAACATTTTATCTCTTTTTTGTTAGTAAAGAACAGAAATAAGTTCCCCCCCCTCCGTCATTACAATAGATTTAGATTTTAGAATGAACAGAATGCAAATTCACATTAGTGATAAATTTGCTGCTTTTTGAGGAGGATATTAAATTTTCTTTTTTATTAAATGTAGATTTTGCATAAATTAATAAATCTAGCATATTATAGTGGAAACTATCAAAAGTTCAAAAAAAAAAAAAAAAAAAAAAAAA